AGGCGTTTCAACCCGAAAAAAACGACCATGTATAGCAAGGGTGCCCAAACTTTTTGGACAGAAAAAGTCTGCTCCTTTAAACTCCACAAAGGAGTGCCAGAGTTGGAATCGAATCCCGCACCTCTCGGCTGTGAAGCCGACGCACTAACCAGTCGACCACCGGGGCTGTCTAAGTATAACTGCGAACGCTGAATAGATTCAAAAAATATGCTACATTGTTTGGCCTGCTGCGAGTATGCAAAAATAAACTTTATTGCAAGTTGTAAAGAGCAAAGCAACCAGTGCCACTGACAGTGCAGTCACACAGACGACATAGAAATTACGCCATCTCCAAACACGCGTCCTCGCCTGCAACTGTTCGTCCAAACGTCGCGGGGTTCATTATAGTTCATTTCACTTGTCACCCCCCCCACCCGAAAAAAAAGCTGAAGAGCGAGAAAATACTGTCATGCTTATTTTGCGCATATCAAAATGAAACAAAGCACAGGGGAACAAAATGATCTCGAAAGTTCACACATTTACAAATGACATCATACAAAATACTTTTTTTTTTTTTTTTTTTAAAAATAGGAGCACTTGTTTCCAGGGAGCATTATGGCTTTTCAAGCAGGAGTTTTGTTTTAGTTGTGCTTTCCTAGTGGGGCCACAATGAAAGTCCAAGTTGAACATACATTCTCATTTCAAAAACAAAAATTTGTTATGTTAGAATAAATCTCTGCAGTCATTCAGTGAATAGCTTTGTTATTTGATTCGGAATATAAAGCGCCATCGCCACAATAATCATCTAATATTAAAAAAAAAAAAATACTCCAATTAAATCAATAGAGGCCATATTCTTTAATATTTTTAAAAAGTAAAGCACCTGATTAAGTACAGAACAAAAGTACAATCCATACACATCAAGTCCTCTGCACGTTACGCAGCGGGAGAAAATAATGCGAAGAATAAATAAAAATCACATTTCCATATAGAATTGCACTTGGAAAACGACACATATTGAAGAGGACCAAATCAACTCACCCGCCACGCGGCGCCTTGCATTTTCCTGCACAAATAAAAAAAAAACAACCCCCCCGAACGCATTGCAAGTCCGCACGTAACACTTTACAAACTTAAATATACAGACTGGCCGCGTGTTTACAAGTGCAAAAGTGTGGTATCGAGAAAAAAAAAAAAAAAAAAAAAACAACCAAAAAAACAAAAATACAAACAGTTGAGCTTTTACAGTCACCAGTGAAGACGTGAGCAAGTTGCGAGTGCCGTGTCCAGTGATCGATTGTGCTTTTCCAGTTGAACCCCAAAATATTCTTGTGGTTGTGTGTGCATGTTGTGGTGTGCAGCGATTCGGTTCACGAGATGTTAATTACCCCCCCCCCCCCCCACCCTGCCATGCCGTCTTCTGACGGCGCTTCCCCGCCAAGTGCCCAAGCGAATCATTTCCCCCGGCACCGTGTCCAGTTGCTCGTAGGCCAGACGACCCTCCTCGCCTGGATGGGGGTAGGGGGAGGAAAAAAAAAAAGTTTTAAAAAACATTCACTGACAGCCGTTTTACAGCATTTGGACATTTGCAAAACCCAGAGGATATTGTGCTAAACGATGATGTGTCTCCCAAATGAAAGAATCGAGCCGACGGACTGACCGAACATGAGCAGCGTTTCGATGGCAACGTGTCGCAGCTCCTCGTCGGCTGAGTCGCACAGCGCCACCACAGCTCGGATGCTCTCCACTGCCTGGAAAGGCGCAATCTTTCAGGTTGACGACTACCACGGCCAAATACGGGCAAGCAAAAATATTGGCGAGAGCCATCCAGTAACCTGCAGGCAATTGAGCGCCGTGCACGCCGCCCTCTGGCTGTGGACGCCCGCCTCCGACAGCGACTCGGTGTAACATTCCACCGCCTGGCGACGTGAAAACATTTTCGTGACGTTTACATCAACACGCTATGGTTTGAAAACAAAACAAGGAGAAAAAAAAAGGAGACAACGTGAAAGGAAGCCACAAGTGACCTTGTTCCGAAAATGGGCGTGCGGCGTGGCGGCGGCGAGGTAATCGGCGGCCGCCTTGTTGACGGTTGGGTCATCGGCGAGGAGCAGTGAGGCCAGCGTCCTCAGGGTGGCGCTGTGAGGCCACAGGCCCCACGCTGGCACCTCCTCCAGAGCTGACGAGTCTCCGCTACGCAACCTCTCTGCAAATGACTCTGAAAAAACACACGTGCGGTTTTGCTGTCATCGTTGCATTTTATTATACAATTGTAATTAAAAAAAAAAAATTGATTTATTATCTAAATTGTTTTTCTACATACACAAACAGGGAGGGGGAGGGGAATAGGGATCTGTGACTCGGGCTCACCCTCGGCGGCCAAGTGCAGCAGGTGGGTCTCCATGTCGCGGACTTGACGTTGCGCCACGTACGTGTGGAACTGAAAAACGGTGACGACGTCCTGCCTCAGGCCGTTGCACTCTGGGAAGTCGTTTGCGTCCACCATCTCGCGCGCCACCAAAGGGATCACTGCAACGCAACAACGGGGACGTATTAGGAGGAGTGTGGGGGTGTTGGTGGGGGGGTGGCATTTTTTAAACCAGCAAGTTAAAAAAACAAAAAGTACATTTAGTAGAATGTTATTATTCTAAGAGCTATTTTTTTTAAGGTTTAATATATTCAAAAAAATTTTTTTTTAAAGGTGTCAAAGTCAAGGCCCGGGGGCCAGATCTGGCCCCCCACGTGATTTTATGTGCCCCGCGGGAGCAAATCATGTGTGTCAACTATCATGATTCTTGCTGAAATCTGGACCGAAATGTCAAATTGTCCACGTGTATATATAAATAACGTTGAGATTTTGCACCGGCCAGCCAAGGGAAGATGCCTTAACTCCGAAGTGGCCCGCGACAAAAAATGAGTTTGACACCCCTGGTCGAAGGTAAGAAAAGTTGTTTTTGAATATGAACAAATTTGTAGGTTTTTTTTTCCCTCAACATTGTCATTTCATGTGAAAGCAGGTTATCATTTTATGAAAAGTAATTTCAAAGCTCGTAATTCTAATTTTGTGAGAAAAACGAAAAGTGCCAGCTTTAAAAGATGTTTTCAGTTGTTTTACAACCTTCAAACAATGTTTTAAAAAGGTTGTCTTTTTTTTTTTAGATAAATATTCTGAAAAATTGGTCCTCGGGAAAATTCTCCTTTTGGATGAGTCTTCATTAAGCAAAAGTGGGAAATTGTCTCCTTTACACCCCCCCCCCCCAAAAAAAGCAGCTGTCATTTACATTGAGAAGTTTACAAAAAAGGTCAAAATTGCACACATTGTAAAAAGCGTCATTTGATAAATTTCTCAAGTTTTCCAAGACCAGTGTAACGTGTCATCTTTGATGTGACGTCGTTCCGATTGTAAAGTTCAAAATCAGGATGTCTTCTCCCGCCCCCACAAAACAATTGTCAGCATCATGAACAACAACTCATCATTTTGTAGCTCATTCATAGAAGAAAAAGAAGAAAACTTTTCCATGAAAGAACGTGGCCATAAGACACAACCGAGAACAAAATTGCGACCTGCTTGGCAACCCTGCGGGTATTTCTCCCTCAGCGTTCCCTGGTAGCGCCGCGTCATGTGACTGGCCACCCGGTCGAGCGCGGTGTGGAAGAGTCCCGCAGAGCCGCTGCACTCGGCCCACAGCGCCATCAGCCCGTCGCGCTCCGCCAGGCCCGGTGCCGCTGCAACGGAGACGGGAGCGTCAGGGCGCGTCAACAACGTGGCGGCAAACTCAGCGGCGAGTGTGCGCGCGCGCACCCTGGGTGGGAGACGTGAGCGGCCCCGGGTGGTCCACGATGACCTCAGCCAGCCCCTCCACCAGCGCCGTCTGAGACGCCAACTTGAGCAGGAGGCCGCGACGGCGCCACGCGCTTACGCCGCTGCTCAAAACCTGCGCAAGTGAAAAAGTCCATTCGACGGCGTCACTCAAACTATTTCTTGATTTGAAATTGGAGCGGGGCGGCACCAAAGATTGCATCAAGCCGCGTCTGCGTGAGGTAGCGTGTGGTCGGGCGTACCTGGACGAGTCGACGGCAGTAACGCAGGTGCACGGCGAGGGCGGCGTCCAGGCTGTCGTTGGCGGTGGTGAGCGGCAGGGGGCTGCCGGCCACGCTGTTGCCTACCCCCGTGTCCTCCGTCAACGCCTCGCTCAGGTGGCCTCGCGCCTCCGCCTGCTGTCCTCTGTTCAAACGCAAATAATGCAAAAAAAAAAAAAAAAGACAACACGTCAACATAGAGAAATTGGATGATTGACATATTTGCAGAGCTTGCATCATTTCGTCTTGCTAGTTTCTCTGTCTCATTTATTTTACGGATTTTTTTTTTTACACCATCTAAAAAAAAAAAAAAAAAAACTACAATTTTATCTCTACAATTTATTATGATGTATTTTTGGTAAATTTTGCTTTGATTGTGCAAAGTTAATTTATGACACAGTGTATTATTTAGGGCATCGCTATTAATGCATTTCTATAATTCATTTCACAACATATTCGATCTCTGCATCTTCTATTTGTACAACTTATTGAACAGTGTAGCTTTTTCGTTGAATACTAAATTGAGGAATACATTTATTTGTATAAGTATTTTATTTTTGTATACTTTGTGAATCATTCATTCATTCATTCATCTTCCGAACCGCTTGATCCTCACTAGGGTCGCGGGGGGTGCTGGAGCCCATCCTAGCTGTCTTCGGGCAGTAGGCGGGGGACACCCTGAATCGGTTGCCAGCCAATCGCAGGGCACACAGAGACGAACAACCAACCACGCTCACATTCACACCTAGGGACAACTTAGAGTGTTCAATCAGCCTACCATGCACGTTTTTGGAATGTGGGAGGAAACCGGAGTACCCGGAGAAAACCCACGCAGGCCCGGGGAGAACATGCAAACTCCACACAGGGAGGTCGGAGCTGGAATTGAACCCGGTACCTCTGCACTGTGAAGTCGACGTGCTAACCACTTTTTCCATAAATGTGAATCATTTATGGAAAAATTGTCCCCAAAAAATGTATTGCTATAATTTATGACATCAATTTATTTTCTCTCTCTACCCTTAGTAGATTTTAGTGAACAATTATCTTTGGGAGGAGTCATTTATTCAACAATTATTTTGGTTTGCTTGATTTATTAATTTATATTCATTGGGTGAATTTTCATTTGTACAATTATTTTTTTTGTACATTTACTGCAGCAACATGGTTTCCATTTTTATTCACGATGTAGTTTGATTCATTTCTTTTTATGGGCACTTTTTATATTTCCCTAAATAATGAGTGGATGGTACACTAATATACATCAAATAAAAAAGTGAAAACTGTTTTGTTAATTTATTGATATTTGCAATTGTACTCTGTTGATGTTTGTGCATCAAAACAGGAGACCGAATGTGAACGTTTCAAGCTCACCCGATTCTGTCAGCGTCGCTGTCGAATGGCGGCGACCTGTGCGGCTGCGGCGGCGTGGCCAGAACGACGACGGCGGCGGCAACGGTGGCATCGTCGCCAGTGTCGTCGTCGTCAAAATCGGACGTGTTCAGGAAGTCGAAACTCTCCAGCGCGCTTTCCACTGTCAGGCTGAGGCTGGACGAGCGGCTCCTGTGGCCCGGCAGGCGGCACTGAGGAAGCCAAGTATTGGGCGGAGACATTCGGCGTGAGGGCGGCATTATTCAAAGGAGGGGGCGGGGCTAGCGAACATGAGCCGGTCACCTTCAAGAGGTCCTCCAGCCGCATGACTTCCTGCTCCAGGTCCTGCAGCTCTCGGCATCGGTGCGTCAGCGTCTCCAGCGTCAGCAGCAGGCCGTGGATGGCGTCCTCCAGGCCGCCCTCCGCCAGCAGCCCGTGGCCCACCTCCACGTTGCCGCCGCCCTCGTCGTCATCCGCCTCCGACGACGACGTCAGCCGCTTGACCAGCTGCCGCGTCAGGTTGCCGCCGTTGTCGTCGTCTGTGGTAATTCATTGTCAGTAACTATTTTTGTGATGGCAAAATCAATCTTGGGGACTTTTGGATTTGTGGAAGATTGTTTATCTGAAATTGTCATAAGGATATAAATGATATATATTATTTTAGATGAATTGTCATTTTACAACAATAAAAAAGAAAGAATTTATTTCACATTTTACGGTAAAAAGTTCTTGACAAGAAAAGTTAAATTGGTGTGAAAAAAAGTTGACATCAGGAAAAAGCCATTTTGGGGGCGGAGCAAATGAAATGATTTCAGAAAATTTCACAAGCCGTGTAAAGGAAAAATATTGTCCCTTTACGATAAAATTAGACAGCAAAAAATATTTTACAAGGGAAAAAAGCCCCTTCCTGAGAAAAGTTGTAATTATGTACTTTAAAAAAATATAAGCGGATAATCGGTGGTAAATGGATGGATGGAAAAAAAAATTTCTGAGAACAGACTTGACAGTTCATTCTTAGAAAACAGATTTTTTTTCATTCACTGGAGAATTTTTGCCATTTTATGTCCCCCCCCCCAAAAAAAACGTCATTATTTTGAAAACAATCACAAGGATAAACTAGAGCTGCAAAACATTCAAATGAACTTCAAGTCAAACGCGCCAAAGTGTTGCGACCTTGTTCCAACTGGACGGGCTTGAGGTGCTCGGCGTGGTCCAGGAAGACGTCCTCGGGCGAGACGGTGGCCGTGCGCCCGTTGCGTTGGGACTCGGTGCGTTCCCATTCAGAGTCCTCCAGGCTGCCGCTCGTCCCGCTATCCGTCTCGCCGTCGCCGCCGCCTTCTTCGTCGTCGTCCTCGTCCTCCTCGGCGATGGAGCCCTCCCGCAGCCTGGAGGGCGAGGTGGACGCATCCGTGTCTGGCGGCGTGACGGTGATATCTGGGTTGGACGGCGCCGGGGAGTGCGAGCTGGGTGCCGGGCTTGGGCTGGAGATGTCCGAGAAGGCGAATGACAGACGCTTGCATTCCGACGCGCTGCCATTTTCAAACACGTCGTCTGGGAGTGTTGACTGATGATGAAAAAAGTCAGAAGTTGTCGACTTAAAAATAAATATGTAAGTTGTTTTATGACAAGTTGTCCCTTTCAGAGGAAAAGGTTTTTCACTCCACCAGGGGAAAAATAATACCCTTGGGAAATTTTTATAAAATAATTTTAATAATAAATATTTATTTTTGTAATATGAGTTACAGATTACCCCCCCCCAAAAAAAATACTTGTATGAAGACTGATTCCATTTAAACACTTTTAGTCAATATTTGCATGAATTTAACTTTTTTTTTTTTTTTTTAAAGAGGACAACAGTTGCCACTTTGCAAGAACAGCAAAAGCGAAAGGACGAAATGAGGAAATGGCAGCCATTTGGAAAGCCCAAGCAGACACATTTCAAACATGGAGGAAAGTCAGTCAGCGAGGTTTGCGTTGGGGAGGGGCCACGCCACGCCACACGCACTCACGTAGACCTCCAGGCTGGCCTTGGGCCTGGGCGCCGACAGTTCGCCGAAGGAGCGGGCGCGCCGGAAGGTTTCCAGCAGGGCGCCACCGAGCGCGTGCAGAAAGGATGGGCGTTGGCGCTCGGCAGGGGGATGGCGCCACGTCTTTTGCGCGCACGGTTGAGGGTGGGCAAGGTTAGTTTGGGAAGGCAGGCAGGCCGGGGGTGGCACGAGGTGATGGCACACAATTCAGTGACGCGACGTTGGCGGGCGATGGCGCTACTCACAAAGAAGGAGGCGTCCTGGAAGGTGGGCGTCTCGGGCGTGCCCTGGCTGTAGACGGACACTCGCCGCTGCAGCGCCGCCGCCTTGCTCACGTTGCCCGACGACAGCGTCAGGTCCTCCGCGTCGAAGGGGCTGGCGAGACACACCAACGTCACCGACCGCGAGGGAGCAAACGGGCGAGCGGGGAAGGGACACTGGGACACTTGATTAGGCACGCCGGAATTCAATTGTGGCTCCGCAAAACGATCGGCGCAGCACTGAGAACACACTGACGTGAAGAGCTGAGCCGCCGGCGCGAGTATCACGACTTACAACCAGGTGACCTCCAGGTTGAGCTTGATGGTGGCCAGGTCGTTGACGTCCACAGCCACCACCTGCGGCATGGCGGTGAACAGCTCCTTGGTCTCGCAGATGACGCTCCCCACCAGCAGGTGGGTGGCCAGGCCCTTCAGCTCCGTCACCTGAGGCCACGCGCAAAAATTATGCGGTCAACCTTTGCAAACGAGCAGGGCATCCCGGCTTTTACAATCCGCAAGTTGCCAAAGGGACTTGTAATTACGCACATATGCCACAAGGTGGCAGCAAAACACAAAGCGTTGCTGAGTCCACGTTGCATCAACACAAACAAAGTGACTTCACCCGAGAGTCATCGAGAGCATTGCTGGAATTTGCGAGTACCTTGATGTTGATGAGGTCGCTGATGAGCGGCATGAAGACCATCTCGTCGCCATCCCAACTCTGGCGGGAGTTCACCTCGATCCGACCCTTCAGCTTCCACCGCTGACGCCCGTAGCGCATGAAGATCTGCGAGTGTCAGACAGCGCCGAGTGAACACATGGATCCACAATTCGGTAATAAGAGAAACTCAACGCATTAACAGTCCATTTCCTTTTATACTCAAATGCAGTATTAAAAATATAAAATGACCATATTTGTAAATAAAAAATGGTGCTCAGTTACGAAAACATTCACTTAATTTCTTGTTAGATTTTTTTTCATTATAAGTTTGATTCTGTACTTATTTTAACATTTCCTTGATTTATCTTTCAAATATTTAATGGCAAACTATATTATAAGCAACCTCAAATATTGAATTCATTTTGTTTATAGTTTTAAGATTTTTTTTTTAACATCAAATGTTCCACCGACCTTGATTTATACTGCATACTTTGTGTCCATATTTTTAATACCCGCAACATTTTCATTATTATTGCATTTAAAACTGATTCCCAATTTCTTGAATTTGAATCAATGATCCATTTTGAATTAGAATGAAGTTCAAATAATTTCCACCTAGTTTACCTTACATAAATTAATGTACATTACTGTACATTTATCATGCTTTTTTTAAAAAAAAATAACCCCCACCTACATTTCTATATTTTATTTTTTCCCCCCATATTATCTACTAGATTTCTAGACTTTTGTTTTAAATCACACTGACCATGTATTCTTAAAAAAAATAATAACTACTTGCCTCATACTGGTCTCCCGGACAGAGACGAGCAAAGCCTGCCAAACCTGATGGAGGGGGGGGGAAAAAAAAAAACAAAACATTTTGACTTTCCTGGGCTCAAACACTGACGACAAATCGGAGGACGGCTTCAATTTCAAGCAACAACCACCACTTGCAGCCAGCAGAAAAAGTTCCAGCCGCTGACGCTCACCTTTCATCTTGATGTGAAATTCCCCGAGCAGGTTCTCCAGATCGCTCTCAAAGGCGCTCATTTTCTGAAAAAGACAAGCGGCATCAAATCGCGCTGTGGCGTTTGAGGTGGGGGTTCTCTGTCGCAAGAGGCGCACCTCGGTGTATTCTTTGTAGCGCCGGTTGACCTCGGCGATGCTTTCCTTGGTGGCCTTGGTGGAGGGCGAGCAGGTGAAGGCCTGCTTCATGCGGCTGGCTCCGTCCCGCAGGCGACTCTGGATGCAGAAGGCCTCGTACAACTCGTCTACCTGCGCGCAACACACACAAATATTAAGACACATTGGTTTAGACACACACAGAAAAAAAACACAATACACACACACACACACGAGAGAGTGGAAGTCGCCATTGGCCGCTAATGGCGTTCAAGATGGGAGTCGACATCAAAACAGACGCGCTTTGCACATTCTCGGGGAGCGCTGATGGCCATTTGCTTCGCTCATGAGGTCAAAGGTCAGGTTTGTGTTGTCATGACAACCAAGCCATTTTTGGCATACGCACACGACATGTCGAATTGCACTTCAGTTTAGAAAAAGAAATTTGAGGGGGCAGTTGCACTTCAATATTTGATGACGCCATGCACGGGCTGACTCAGATTCTCTCGCACGCGCGCACACACACACACGTCTCATGCCAGCTGGCAAATGAAAATGAACATTTGCACGAAATAAAATGATTTATGTAAAACAATGGAACCTGAATTGACATTTTCTATGGACATCTTCATTTTATTTGTCTTTTTTTATCTTAAACTGAACTGGAGACGGACATTTTTCATGTAAACCATCTTACGATATTTGCAAAGTAAAAAAAAAGGGATCTAATGGAAATTTACTCATGTATATTTTTTCCAATTAAAAAAGGGCATTTTACTATTCCGTTGAATGTCTTTTGATATTTTATATTTTGATGCAAAATTGGGATTTTTCTTTTTTTTTATGCAGACGTGAGATTATATATATTTTCGTATATCAGATTTTTTTTTTATGTAAAAGGTAGGATTTTACTTTGCATTTTTAAAAATAACATTTGCATTATATTTTTTGGATAATAGTTTCGGTTTTTAAAAATCAAGTTACAACTTCAAGTAAATCCCCTTTGACGTATTTATGACTTCAATGAAATTCCGTCTCACAGTTATGCAAAAAGTCTAAAAATGTGATTTCCTTCCCTCTTATTTGTAATGATTAAAAATTTGATTTGTTTTACATTTATGGCAGATTACAATGGTGATTTTTCGATGCATTCTAAATTCTCGTGATTTAAAATGATGTCCTGTCAATGTAAAAACTTTGTTATGTGGTAACGTCATTTGTCATTTTTGGGGTACTTTTGGCAATTTTTGTTTATTTATTATTTATTGATTTTTACACATTGTGTTTTTTGGAATTAGACCAGAAAGCATCCTGTCATGTTACTTTTCTTGATCTCCTTCATTTTGTATGACTTTTGAAGGTTCATGACCTTCCTAGCAAAACTTAATACATGAATTGTGATTCTATTTTCGGGCGCCGCCAAGAACAGAGAAAGCTTCATTCGCAGGCTTCACAAAGCATTTGAGTGTTTGTTTTAACACCGGCTGGGATCTTATTGAGCCCCCCCTTCCCACACACACACGCACACACACACACATTCCTCAAAACGCCTCAAGTCCTGACCCACATCCAAACAGGAAACACGTGTGTTTTTTTATTGTCCGCCGGGCGCTTATGAACGTATTAAAGGTGGCCCGCTAGATGTCACTCGGCGGATGAGGCTGGTAACCACGGCAACCCCGAGAGCAGCATGCGTGCGCTGCCGTCACGTGTGATTGGACGCGCGAGGACAGCCACACGCGAGATCATTTGTGTGACCCTGAAGATGACAAATGCAAATGACTACTTTGCAACCTCAGCCGGAGTATCCTTTTTTTTTTTTTTTTTTTATAAATCTTGACCGACAGGGCTTGGCAGCCCGATTTTCCTTTTCGGTCAAGTGGAGTGCACTTTGAATTGACTTTAAATGGGGTACAGGGATTTCATTTTGTGTATGTTTTTGTTTGTTTCATGGCATGGATTGCTTGTTTACCTTGCTGATGTGAAACTCGAGCCGTCTCATGTACCTCTCGATGGCTTTGATTTGCTGCAAAGACAAATAAGGGGAAGTGCACGTGACACACCTTGGCTCGCTGCGAAAACATCCAAATGGTATTTAGACGAAAAGCGAAACATGTCATTTGACAAAAATGACCGCGGAGGTGTACATATACTTAAAATCCTTGTGGAGCCTCTCCCTCTTTCAAAACCTGCCCTGTATTTATTATTCCTCATATGATGCCAACATTTCTTCTTCTTTTTTTTTTTTTTGACAGCATGTCCTCACTCACCTTGTCCAGATCGTAGAGAACGCCCTGCACAAAAGGAAACAAACGGAAAAGAACACTCCGTTATTACAGGATTAGCTTTTCATTTTTAGTCCTTGTGCCCATGAGTCACGGCGGGCGGCCATCTTGATTTTCTCGCACTCACCAGACGCGAGTTCCTCTTCATGTCCTTCATGAGTAATGTCAGTTTGTCCAACTCTGCCTGGTGTACCTCCAGATACTCGCTGAGTGCCCCAAAAAAAGAAAAAAAGAATGTCTGTTAGCTTAATGCTAACACATAATGTAAAGCGTCATTCACTGGCTAACGGTATTACACTGAAGGTGTGCAACTCTGAATTGTGCTTAGAGAAAAAAAAAGACCCTTGCTTAAAAGACTGCTATGAAGCAGTGAGCGCCAGAGACGAAGCACAAATTAGCGCGGAAACACTTTCCACTCACTCCAGGCCTCGTTTGAGTGCTGTGTAGACGTCCTCCAGTCTTTGCGGTTGAGGCTCTCTGGAGCCGCCGCTGCCGCCGCCGCCGCCCTTGTGACCGGACAGGTGAGGCCTCTTGGGCTTGGACGCCGGCTTCTTCTGTGCCACCGAGTTGGCCATGAAGGAGTTACACCTGTGGGCAAAAACGTGCGCTCATATGAAGCCATTTGGCTGGGTGTGCCTAATCAAGCGTCCGGTGGAGTTGTGCTCATTCATCATGAATTCATCACATTGGAAAACTTCTCCAGCTCAAACTTGGTAGTTGTTCAGGTCCTACATTATTCATTTTGACAAACAACACACCCACACACGCGGTCGTCCGCTATGACCCCGATGCGGTGATTTCACAGGATCGGCGTGTGAATAATTGAGGCTGGTGAAGAGTGTGCTGGCGATAAACGGGCTGCGGGTGATGCGCATGTATCAGGGCCGCATGGCAAAGAAGAGTTGTGGGACGGTTTTCAACCAAATTAATGAAGCTCTACTCGGTTCTTTACACGCAAGCGATTTGCAAGATCTCTGTGTGAAAGAGGCTCATTGGGAACAGCGCCTCGTCTGCTGCCCAAACAGGCTACAATAGAAATGTGAACAACATGAACCCTGCACAGCGAAGGTGGGATGTGGAATGGTTTTTCACAACAACAAAAAAACAAAAAAAAAAAACGAAGGCACATTAGCTTCTTGCACACTATTAGCAGGTTCTCTGTGAGAAAAAGGCTAATTGAAGCGAGCGACAAGTATTTGGCCAAAACGGGCTGCGGTGGGTGCAGGATCTCTCTGGATGACTAACTGAGGCCAGTGATGAGTGCGCCGCCTAAACGGGAGGTGGTTGCGGGACTGTTTTTAAGCCCAAAATGATGTTATGATGCGCATAGTACTGGCATAGCAGCCACGGCTTCGTGTTTGTACAGCACACAACATTTGCTACACTGCAAGTTCCTTGCGCGGTAGCCATGCCGTGAACAACAACAGCGCAGCTAAGCCTCTGGTCAACATTTTTCAGTTCCTGAAAAGACGCCAAATTATTTATGTCGCGCGTTCCTAAAAAGAAAAGCTGTTGTACATTATTAAGTATACAAGACTGTCGATGGGTTGGCCTGTGGATGCGTGCAGCCCTGTGTCATGTGCATGTGTGCAGACTGCCAAGTAGTATACGCGCGTGCGCGAGATCCACGATGTGAGCGCACGCACTGACCCCCCCTTAAGGCTGCCCTACATTTGAGGTAGCACAGACCGACTGGCGCGCGCGTCAGCGCTGCCGCGTTCCAACCAGTTTGCGGCGTCAGATTGGCGCTCGTCGCTGCTTAAGGAAATGTCAGCTAAACGAGTGCGAGGGCGGCGGGAGACGAGCGTGACCTAAAAATGGGACGATGGGAGGAAGGCAGGCCTGTTTTTCATACGTGCAGATCACAACTCTTAATACTTTTTGTTTTGTAATAAGAATCGAATCTGCTGCGGATCTGTCTGATTTTGGAAAATAAATTATCCAGTGGGCGCCGATAGTCTCAATTTTGGTGACTATCGCTGCTGGTAGCTACTTTAAGTTGGGCTCTATTTTCAGGAATACAAGGAGTACTCAAACAGGCATTGACATTTTGATTTGAAATTAAATTTTAATCAAGCGTCT